AGATTGACGTTATTTATTTTTCCAGGATTATTTTTGTTTTAAAATTGTATTTTGATATTAGCAGATGCTCCAATCTTGTTTGGAAAACGATTTATTCATTACTTTAACTTGAAATATTCTTATGAACATAAGCTAGTTTGCTTCTCGAAATTTCTTTTGTATATTTGATAAACGAGTTAAAGACTTTTTTCCCATGGTACCCACCCCGTTCAGAGATACTCTTTGACTTTTAAATCATAATTTAACATGTTTTATCAATAGCTTTACCTTATTTCACAGGAACCGCTGCTAACAAATGATGCAAATCTTAACCGCATTATAGAAACAAATGTTTCATAATTCCTAAGAAAAAAATACAAGCAGAAATTAAATTAGATGAGCCAAAACTTGCTGGCACATTTTGCACGGGATACCGTATATATTGAAAAATATCAAATGGAACCAGTTCATCTAATAAAGTCATTACCATTCCGTTAACTTGAGAATATGTAAAGCGTTCATGCAGCCCGTTATGAGGTTATGGGGATGAAGGCCATATTCAATGAGCAATTTTAGAACTTATGAGCTAGAAAATTGACTTTACTCATCCAAAGATCAATTAAACAATGTGCATTAACCGGTTAAAGAGGGCGTGCGCTCCTAACGCGCGGTAAATAAACGGCGCATTTCCTTTTAGTTTGAAAACCATTTTGCGGATTATAAACCGTTTTCTGCATTATTTTTATGGACGTTGTAGCAGTTGAATAAATAGAAAGTGCAAATTAAAGACGATAATTTGTTCCAAATCTTTTTAAAGCCTCAATTGATCGTATTTTATTGCCTATCATGAAGTTCTATCAAGTTGGTTAAATTAAGAATAGGTAATACTCATTCTTTACAATTCACAAAGTTAATTTAGCGTGCCATGACTTAAGCCAAATTTAAAAAGTTTTATTTACAATGAAGTATTCTATTTTTAGGGTTTTTAGTACAAAAATATATAATCCATGTATATTAGCCAATTGAATCAACGTTCTGTTTTCCCTAAACTCTCGCATCACATCAAATCGACCAAATCTTTTAGAAGTTGACAGGGGGCGCTGTAGATGGGATATTCAAACGCAATATATTTAAAAATGCATAGCATGCCTGTTAATCTGTAAAGGTCTGTGAAACGTTTCAAAATTGTTTTAGTACAAACTTTCTTACAGCAATAACCACAGAATATCCTATGTCCTTGAACGGAAGACGGAAGAAAAACGAAGAGAAGGGAATGTGAGAGAAAAGCCTTCGGAAATCGAAAAATCAAACTTGATTCCTGATATCTGTTCTCTGTAATCCAAAACTCATTTTAACATATGTTTAATCCTGACTTCAGTTCTCCTCCCACCAACGTTCTCTGCATGCTGGTTTAAGTTATTGGCACAGAAAACACTCGTAGTGAGTTTCATGAAATTTTATGGCAGAGTGCCGCAGATTTCCATCTATTATCCGGCTAATAAGTCAACGGTAAAACGCTGTATGAATAATAGATAATAAAGTTAACAGGAGGAGCGTGCTAATTCTGAATCCCAATGTTTCATTAATAGTAAAAAAATGGGAAAAGATTAAGTCTATTACGAATACATCTTTGAATCTATGTTCGCTTATAAGAAAAAATAATTTTGAAGTTTATCTGAAAATAGTCGGAAAATTAATAGATTTAATGATGTTCAGGATTAGAAGATTAGAAAGTTCTGCACGATTAAAAAAGTTTTTTGTTTAACAACCAGGTCTTTAACAATGCCAGGAAAGTCATATACAGTTAAACAGTCAAACCTGGTTTAAAGACCACCTCAAATAAAGATAACCCCTGCGAATAAAGGCCACTTTTTGATTACCTTCCATTAAAAAAAATGGAATAAAGTTAACCTCCAAATAAAGACAACCTGTATATAAAGACCATGATTTGTCTCTTCATCGAGTGGTCGTTATTCACAGGTTTGACTGTATTGATATTTTACTATCAAATGGCAACATATACATGCATTTTGAGCAAACACCTGTCATGTTTAACATTGCCAAGTCATACCCCTGCACCTTTTGTACCTTAATGTAACTCGATGGGCGGGTTTGAAAACCCGTTTACGTTTGCAGAGCGTCTTAAAGCTCTTCAAAGCCCATTCACAACAAAATTATCTTCGCTTATACCACTTTTATCCCGAATTTAAGTTTTTCAATCTTAAACAAACTCGAGCTACTTAGGTAAATATTCAAACATTGTATATACATTCAAATGTTGCGGCTACATTGAAAGTCGTCTGCAATTTTAAACCGACGTGACCCGGCTGTGAATAAAAGCCCGTATCATTCCTTTCACTAAACTTTTATGACGAGATTTGGCCATTTAAATACTAAATGTAACACTTTATCACTACTTTTAGGTCTGAATAGCTGACACTTATCAAAAAGCCAGCCGCTACTTGAATATGTCAATACCTCTTGTAAACTGTGACCATTAATTCAGGTCATATTTATTTATTACAACGGGAATAATCAAAAACTCATGCCGCCTTTTTTCACTTTCTTCAAAAATCTATCTATCTGGAAAAAGGTACTATTAGATTCTGCATTTTTTCTTTTTTTTAAACCTAAAAAATGGAAAAATTACATTCTGCACTATTTGTTTCACATTTTTTTTGTAATTGTCGCCCTTTTTTAAATGATGTCACCGGAAATGTAGCACGTGCTCAAATGCTGAGAGTATGTCGCTTTATAAAGATCCTTATGAGCAAGTTTTTAACTTGATTTGCTAAGGAGCATTGATCATGGATTCTTCTTTAGCTTATGGTTGTTTTTCATGATTTTAGTTCCAGCTAAAGTCAATTGCACACGGGATGACTTTATATTGATCTTGGATAAACCCAATTCAGTGGCTAGATGATATAACTTGTTTACATATTTGCTACATATACGAATTTTAAAATAAAACCTCTTTTTTCTCAATTTTGTATTTATTTTACTTAATACAACACAATCTGTTTGGTCATGATAAGTTACATACAATCGAAATTTTATAAAGAAGCAGACGACATGAAAAGCTCGAGTATATAACGTGTATATAAAATATAGAAATGACTAAAAAAATATAGAATTTGATATTCAAACGCGCATATTGGGATAATCCATTAAATCACAATAGCTTGATTAACAAAGCAATATACTTTGTCCATTCATGAACATTTCAATACAATATTATTCATCGTTGACGTCTCATGCTCTACCACCGTTTACTCAGTTAAGGTTCGTGAACACAGCGAAATGCAAACATTGTGCATAACTAAAAATGCCCCCTAGCCACTATAACATAGTAAAAAAAATAGACAGGAATAGAAATAAATTATATATCTATTAAAAAAACACTTGTCACGCATATTAATTTCAAAATATTTATTTTTTGTTTCCTAGATTTTTAATCATTATCAATATACATACGATACCGGTGCAGTGGAGGGTTGTTAAGTGTGTGTGGGTGTCTTTGAATATTAATAAAAAATACAGCTAAAATTTGACAAATGACCGCCCAGCATTGCAAATTAGTAAAGTACCAAACCCTCTCTGACATATTCATAATCATTGGTCGATAAAAAAATCCTGGATGCACTTCTGCCTGTGTTATAGTGCTTTGTATTTGCAACATATATATTTCCACCGATATTGTTTTAAGTCGATCACGTGTCTAGGTTTTAACGTGTCCGGCCTAATATCTCCAGTAAAACAAGACCAACGTTTAATTTTTAGTTCATACAAGTCGTTGTGCATTAAGTTATTTTAAATTATTCCACGGTGTCCTACTACCTTAATAAACTATTACGTTTTATGATCCGTATAATTTTCTATTTTACATGAATAAATCATTACTCATTGAAAATGTTTCTGCTCTGTGGCTTGCGTACAATATATAACGGGAAAAGACGGCATTATATAAGCATCGTGTATCTTGTCCTATAAACGGCCATTTTGTAATAAAAAAGCAAAATCAATATGTGATAAATTAAACGAAATATTTTTTCAATAGAGAATAATTAAACGAACTTTTTTTCAATAGAGAAAAAAAGGATTAAGTCACATCGTTTGCATTGAATAATTAACATGTAAGCAGAACCCTTCAGAATGTAAAATTAGTTTTTATGAACAGATATAATTCTTGTTTTATAGCAGCATGTAAAACAGCTCCGAATATCATCATCTAATTCACATAACTCCAAAAAAATCTCTCATCAAAGCAACTGATATTCGCACGCCGTATCTCGACACCGTACATATGTCATTACGCACGTGCGAACATAATGACTCAAAACAGTTAAAGACATTTTTTGCCAAGGTTGTTTCAAAATTGCATTATTTGAAAATCTTTCGGTTTAACATTCGTGTCTTCTTACTTGTTTGTTGGTATATCCTTCCGTTTTGTTTTTGTTTATTGCTATACGTTTTCTTTGATACTTTGTTGAACGACATTGTTTTTGTTTATGAGAATACGGTGTCTTTTAGCAACTTTATCGTTTTGTCTTCGTGGTACATTTTCATAACATTTTCAGTTGAGAAACTTTGTCGTTTTGTCTTTGTGGTAAATTTTTATAACATTTCCGGTTGTCGTTTTTGTTTTCAAGGTACATTTTTATAACATTTCCGGTTGTCGTTTTGGCTTCGAGGCACATTTTCATAACATTGTCGGTTGTCGTTTTGGCTTCGAGGCACATTTTCATAACATTGTCGGTTGTCGTTTTGTCTTCGAGGCACATTTTTATAACATTTTCGGTAGAGAGACTTTGTCGTTTTGCATTTTATAATTATTATGATACTATTTCGTTTATATTTGTTGATCATCTAGTATTTAAGCAACATCACTGTCCCCGAGTGCAATTAAAGATATGGGTTGTATCTTCTGTGACCACGTTTTCATACAGAATAATTTACGGTATTTCTATATGACTTGAATCATTTAAGATCATTTGGGGAATTCTTCATGTTTCTATTTTTAGGTTACAATGGCAAACAGAGAGGCAGCCGAGAGAGCATGCAAAGATCCGAACCCAATTATAGATGGCAGAAAAGCAAATGTAAATTTAGCCTATTTAGGGGCTAAACCTAGAGGTATATTAACAGGTGTGTTCACACCTTTTAGATTATCATTTTTTCTTATAAATGACATTTGTCTTTAAATCAAAGCTATTTTTTGGTCAGAGTTTCTATAAATAGATTTATTTTACGACATTGACATCATCATCAAGCTGAGAATGTATTTCTAATGCTTTTAAAGTATGTTGAAATAATCCCCCGCGTCGAAGAATGAGTTTTATTAATTCGATTGAAGTCATAAATATGAAACAGTGTATTTGTAACTCAAGTCTGTATTTTACACCTTACGGGCCATAAAATATTCATTATTTTGCACTAACTTGGCGATGCCGCAAGATCAGAAGAGCAAATGAGAACTAATTTAACAAGATAACGCTTTGATAAAAACATAATGACGTGATTTATCCCTACATAATTCATTGCATTTTTTATGAAAAAAGAATTTTAGTGATGCAATGTGACTTATGGACAGTTTTTGTTTGTTTACGCATGCCCAATGCAAAGTTTCCGGTAAATATTGGAAGAATGGCTGTCACTTTTATGTACAGCGTTTCTCTTTACTTACAAGGCGTAGAAGCTTTAACAATCTGTATGATTGATAGGTTTTCAATAAAACATTCCAAAATGAATAAGAATCCATTTTCAAAGTATTTGTCTGAAAAGTATTGACATATTTCTAGGTTATTAACAGAAGTTCCTCGACAAATAGAAGTTTAGAATACTCGAAAACGTGGAATTTGTTTTGTTATGCATCCCAAGGGGCCAATATCTTAAATCATATCTTACTTACCGGGCTTTCTCGCGATATCATGACTAAAACTACCTCATTTAAAAAGAGTACTCTGCGAAAGGGAGGTAATTTTAGATTAGTTCATAGATCCAATTGCTAAATATGAGCGTTTATTTGTAGAACTTTCGTACCGGTTACCATTGCTTTGGTGAGTTATAAATCTGACATATTAAATTTGACGTACAAAGTATGAACATTAGTGGTTTAACTCCTCACCTGACGTACAAGTATATCTTGTTTGCTAACAAACACTTCAGGCGCAATTAAAATATACTGTAAATCAAGACTGATTGAAAATGTGCACTCGGACAAGGTCTGTTTTACTTCCGTTTTTATTTGAAGTTTGGATATTTAAGTGGATTTTACCCATTTACCTGCAAAAGAAAAACAGTAACGCTATCCGAAGCACCTCTTTTTCTAACTTTATCCGCACCATTAGGTCTTATTTCATTCTTACAGTTTATTTCAATCGATGCATTTATGTGTAAAACATATACTTTAACATAATAAAATTCGAGGGTTAACAAATGCAAAAAAAACCCAAACTAATATTTAAATTTTTATTATGTCGGTAAGATACTATTCCTCGTGCATTAAGGCATGCAAATGACAAAAAAAATGCCGAATCAAATCCGACCTACCATTCTTGTTATCGAAAGCCATGTTCCATTATCAACAAAAATTTGGTTATTGTTATGTTATCAAATTATTTTTCCCTAAACAATCATTTGTCGTGAATTATCTCCAGTTACGATAAGAAATAAAGGTATCAAAAGTTCAGAGAAAATTCGTAACAAACCACTGTGGTTGTCAAGCGCGTCGAAAACACCATCAGAACACAAGATCTTGAAAAATTGCAATATATCAATTCATATAGCAAGCGTTCAAATACATTTTCCGTTAAATCATGTCAAATTAACGAAATGGAAGCGAGATTTTTCCTACCGACAGCTGAGTTCCTCTTCAGCGTGGCTTTATCTCGATTAAAGATTTCAGTAAAAATAATCATTTTATCTTTTCCCGACAACCTTCGAATTAAAACAAATGTTTTTCACCTGCTACTGAAGATCTTTCATGAGTTTGCCGCGATTACTTTTTACTTTACTATTGTTTAAGAACGTGCGTGGAAATAAAAAAGAAAATAGAACAGAGTGAAGTAATATATTGTTTCGGTTGTATATACGGATGTTTTGTTGAGAATCCTGACATCTTTAATTAACTACCGCATATATCAGCCCAGCTTTTTTAGTTTAGAAAATATAAAAAAAGAAAATCTTAATTTAGGTGTTGACAAAGCATTAGTTTGTAGTACATGAACGTAGCTGATTGTTTTAAAATCAAAGACGTATGAACATTTCGCGAACAACGCCATTCTGGGAGTTATATTCGAGGTCTTCTCCCATTTTTATTTTGTTTTGTTTTTGATATATGGTAATTTATATCTATAGTTTAAATGATAATTAACTGTTGGAATAGTCGTCCGTTTTACAATGATTTTTAAGGAAAATATCAACACTTAACACAAAATAAAATATCATTTTCATTCGTACGGAATTTACCGAAAAAATACGGAATTTACCGGGAAAACATGCCGGAACTCTACGGGGCTGTTAATGGATTAAAATACCTTTAAATCTAGCTGTAAGATTAAGATAATCCTCGATTGGTGTTAATGTTGTCATATCTTAGCTTTTCTGTTTCATAAATTAGCATAACCTATTCATCCGTTCGGTGATAAATTAATTTTATTTCGTCATTAACCGACGGATCTGTGTCTTCGACACGCGATTATCTTCGCGGAAGGTGTTAACTTCTTGTACGTCGTTCTGGGCCTGATAAAATCTTTAAATATCATGGAATACAGAAAAATTGATAAAATTGAAGTAATATTTCAACTTTCACATGTTATATAGAGTTGAATATTAGCGCCTTTTGTTATTTTTGTACAAGTTCTCGATGGCCAATCTTTTGTCAATATTGAAATAAGAAAATTACATTTTACTGCGTGTCAATAAAACATTGACATTGCCCATCGTCTGCGTTGAAGGCTTTTTGCTCACGGGGTCAATAAAATCTTCAAAGGTATTTGAATTTCAAATAATTATCATCAGTAGTGCAAATATAATGAAACTTTGTGGAAAATTGGACGCAAATATGTCCTAAACTTTGTCATTCATTCATGGTAATTTTTTTCTACACCTGTTAGTGCAAAATATGAATGATTTCAAACATGCTTAAAAGGTGATGATGATGATGACGATGATGATTATGATGATGTGGATGATGATGGCGATGATAATGCATTAATAATGCGATACAAATTTTCAGTATATCATCTTTATCAATATATTAGTTTCGTTTTAACCGTAGATTAAGTTTTTAAAATTTATATTATTTTTAAAGTACATGGCTTTCATTAATTTGTTCCCAATCAACTATCCTAATCGAAATATTGAACTAATCACGTAACCTTAATATTAAATATTTGGCACTTGATACACATAAGTGGGACATCTTTTTGTTTTATGTAATATATTCATTAAATAACATTTCGCGTTAATTTGGACGTGTTCGTTACTTTCCGTTTATTTCTGTATCCATTTTTCAACTCGACAGAATTTTCTCTGGGTTCTGATAATATAAATGCTTTTTTACTTTTTGCATTTACGGAAAGTGACGAAAAAACTTTTACGAGCTGTAAAAGTCGGTGACTTCAATTATCTTTTGAACAATAAGTTCTTTTTTATGAGAATGGGAAATTACATTCTTTTGCTCTACTTGCAAAATGTTCGAGCTTTCTTATCAAATGATTTGGCATCAAATTTGTCCCGGTTTAACAAGGTCAAAGACAAACATGCTGGGACGGTAATTCTAAAATTGGAAAATCTGTCATTTTTTATCCGTTTTAAATAACACTATGTCAATTTGACGTGTAATATTCAATAGCAGTAAAAATTGAGTGTTAAAAATTGCTGTTTTACGACGTTTTGTAAGTCCATTTCGGATAGTTGATTGGAAATTCACATTGAGGAACAAAATCCTATTTTAATAACCCCTCTTTTCATGGCACAAACCCCTAGACACGCCCATTTATTAACACGTGTGCTTTAAATTATATGATGTTTTTCCTATTACGTAGAATAATGTGTAGATATTAAAGCACGTTTAATGCTTTATTACATATACTCGGCAAACAAAAATAAATGATAAAAAGTATATAATGCATATAAATATCTTTGGACTGTTATTATATACATATTAGGCTTATCATAAACAAGCACAGAAAAAAGAGAGACATAAATCAAACATAACATAACGTTTGGAGAGCATTCTTTTAGTACATATATCTTCCGTTACTTTTAACTATTTCTTCAAGGAAGGTGACTAGATCGATTTTAAATGACTAAAGCTAATGCTATATTTTCTTATATGCATTATATTTGCCGATTCTATTTTTCCACATCCCAGCACCTTAATAAGTTTGCAAAAAAGTTACATTTTTACATTAATCGTAAAGTAAGAGAAATGTGTGGTATTAAAGTAACGTATTGTCTCGGTTGTTACATGTTTATCAATGTAAGGTGCTGGGGTGTTTAAATCACGTCGTTCATCTAACCTCCCTACTCATCAACATAACCCAAGCATGTCTTTAATTACAGCTCTACCACTTGCTATTAAAACAGGAATACCAGGCGTGCTCCCTGGACAATTCGGGTAAGTTCGAGTTTCTTTTCTTCAATATCCCTTTGTTTTAGATTAACCTTCTCAAGTTTTAGTATTCATAAAGGGTCCAGATATGTTTCAGAAATGGAGATATATGTGTAAATATGTTTGGTTTATTAAGTGAGTTGTTTATTTAAAATTACTTTTGTCAATTAAATAAAATTTAAATAGTTTTAATCACATCATGTTGGGAAAGCTTTGCTTTGTCTATTTTTGGAGTTTTCTGGATCATATTCCTTCAAAGCTTTTTAACATTTTTTTTCATATTGCTTTTTATATAAAATGCGCAAATTCTCCTCTTTGCTATAGGTTAGAACTTAGAGACCTTTTTAATGGAATGCTTAACTTTTAGAGCCCGCAAATTGGAAAATATTTAACCCAAAAAAATGGTTGCTGGTTCCCCTGATAAAGTCTCCTGTGACCGGGAGACAACCCATAACGATTTAACCAACAAATGTTTGTCATTATATGTAAATGTTGAAACGCATGTTCATGGCAATCATTATACATGTATTAAATGTTTTTCTAATAAAGAAAATTTTTAGACTGCTAACAGCCGAGTACCAGAGGACAAATTTCACAAAATTTGAGATGCTCTCACCACATGTTCATTTTATAATTGAGCCGTGTCACGACTAAACCAACATAATGGGTTTTCGACCAGCATGGATCCAGACCAGGTCTGATCAGGATCCATGCTGTTCGCTTACTAACCCTATTACAAATAGAGAAACTGATAGCGAACAGCATGGATCCTGATCAGACTGCGCGCATGCTGATCGCAAACGCACTATGTTGGTTTTGTCATGACACGGCTTATATGTATTTAACAATATGGTATGCCTCAGCTTGTGATATTTTGACAATTGTGCTTTTCATGAATAGTTACAGTTGGACATTCTTTATTTAACATGATCCGTTCAGTCAATTTTACGAACTAAGTAATGCTCTGTTTACAAATTGTCTAGTTTTAAAAGCTCAAAACGCACCTGCAAATTTGTTTTGTTCTTAATTAAGTATACAAGAAAATTGGGCATTTTAAGTACCCCCATTCTTCAGCACGTAAAACTTTCACCGAAAGTACATAAACAAAAATTAAGGAATATAAATATAAAAACATATGTCAGAATCCAGCCAGAACAAAAGACAGGTGTGAAACGTCTAACTGGAACTATTTCGTTTGGTTATACACAATATGATGATAGAAAGTTGGCGGAAGTTATATTATTAATCCGCCATTTATTAGTAAACTATTTTTCATGACTTAATCTTTTAATGTAATATTTTAAAATTATTTTTCATTTGATTTCTTTGCGTTTTATTTCTCTAGAAAAGAATAAAGGCTAAAGTTAGGTCTTTAGTTAAGATATTTGCGCCTTTTTGTCCGAATGATAGACTACAAAGAACTATTTGATTTAGATATTGTTTTATGTTCCTACGGTAGAATATGGCCAGCCTGATTTGACGCAAGGTCACCCATGCCATGACACGTCATAATGTCACGTGACTAGAATACCAACATGGCGGCCACATGTGAATATTGGACACCATAAGCAGACATTTCCGGTAGCGTTCTAAAGCAATTTAGAACTTGTTTGAGTTGGTGTGATGTTGATTAGTTTGTTTTTTCCATCATTTTCTCTCTCTCTTTCTTGCTTGAAACGTGTTACTGATCGACATGTGAACTGATTTAAACTTGGCATTAGTCGTTCATGTTGGCTGAACAGTTTAGGATGGTGCTGTGACAATTTAGTGATTTTTTTTTTTTTTTTTTTTTTTTGCATTTTTTTTTTTCTTTATTTTTTAATTCCCGTTTTATAGTGTGGTCCATTTAAAGCGTGCAGTGAAAATCGTTGGCACTGAATATTTATTCCGTTCGGTCAAATTTTGTGAAATTGTTCCTACTAAGCACCGAGTACTAACATTGTTATTCAGATTTGGTTTTTTTCTATTTATAGGTTTTTTTTTCATTCGGAGAGACTCGGTGTTTTCCGTGAATGCTAATGCAGTGTTCGGAAAAGTCACGGAAAAGACATTGTCTCATAGTTGAGCCCCATGTTTGAAAGATCATTAATGTTGTTACTATTTTTAAAAGAAACTTGAGTATTAATTTCATTTGAAGAAATTCTATTTTACTGTAGATCTATATCTATATGTTGACAAAGTAAAACGTTGTTTTTTAACGTTTTTTTATATTTACAGATATAAATGAAGTAAAAAAAATAAATATAGCTATACTTTTTGTGTGACGCATGAACATTTCAGACATGGGCTCGTCGGAAAAACAATTAATTGTTTATTGGCAAAACATACGCTATTATTTCTATCTTTGCTCAAAATTTGAAATTTGTACGGCTAATCTTGGGGCGTTTTCATTTGGTTAGAAGAACAACCTTTTTATTTCTTTTCTGGGATGAAAGATAGAAATACTTTATGTTTTGGCATGCTATCAGTTCACATCTACCATTGTTAGTAATCAGAGACGGCCTCAAACATCTATTTATAATAGACATATGTATAAAATGCCCTTTCAACGTCATATGTGACGTCATTATATTTGACTCCACCCTTTCAACGTATGTGATGTCACGACGTATCAAAACAAGAACTGAATACAAAATGTATAGATGTCGTGTACATAAACTGTAAAAAAGTAAACCATAAAATGTATAAAGATCAGCAGATCAAAATCGTTAAATATTTATTATTTCTATAAATATGTGTTAATACTTTAGGTAAATTAGAATCTACAGCTCTTTGCGCACGCATCTACGTCTTTGTTTTGATACAGTCAGACATGGAACCCAAATGATTTACTCACCTTAACCTATTCTAGACATTGTATTCTTGTCATCCAAAAAAAAAAATTAACTGGTTGACAAACTAAGCAAATGTTTCCTCGGCCCTCTCGTCCGTTTTATTTGTTTGTGCAGACGAAAATTGAAAAAGTCTGTTAGCCAGAGACAAATCGATCCTATATACAAGGGCAAATATTCGAAGTAAATAAAAAGCTTCGAATTAAAACATGCGTAATCAATAATAGTCTTTGAATTAGACTCCGACTTGACTTATTGCTAATTTCACATATCGGTTCTCTCTGTTGTATATGAAAATATGTTTATAGAAATGTATGCATGTTTATACGATGTTGTAACAAAGATTAGTGCTAGATGATTTTTTAAAGAGATATAATTTATGTTTATATTTATGTCAGAAAATTATGTCTTAACATATCAGCGGCTTTGTGAATGCTAAATAATCGATGTTTATAACTGATGTGTGAAAATATGATTCCGTCAACCTATTTTATGCTAGGTTGAAACTATAATGAAATACCTTTAAGAATAAAATGTCATCATGATAATTTCGTATTTTTTTAGAAGAAGAAAATAAACAACAACACATTCTAATCGATTTCAGTGATTTAATGCATGTCAATAATACAATAGTAAAGTCATTAATATATAGTTTTTTATTTCTATCGGCATTGACTTTCACTTTTTTAATGGTAATAAAAAAAGTACCGCCATGAAAGTTATGAATAAATAAACAGTCTATTGTTGAGGGTATGGTGATACCAATGGCTGTGATAGTTTAATGTTCCCGATCTAGATGATTAATTACCCGTAAGAAAATAACAATTAATGGTGAATTGTGAATGGAGATTTTTATGTGAAACAATGTGCAGACAATTTCTTTATTTGTAACCATTGATTTGAACAATGAAAACGGTCCTTCATTTATTTCATTTATAGATTAACTTGAAAAGGGAACGGATAAACGTCAAAGGCCGTTAACGAACTGAGTCCGTTCTTTAAAATATAATACTGCAATATTTAGTTACAATCCCCGTATTCAATAAATGCCATTGTAAATAAGCTCAGAAATCCATATTTTGTCAAATAGTTTTGAATTATTTATTTGATCGGATATGAAATGACGAAGCTGTCTTTTTGTCTAACTGCCTTTACTCGTTACTCGATACATACAAAATGCAGAGGTTCTCTAAAAACGGTATAGACCGGGTCTATGGCAGCTTTTATCCATTTATTTTCTTCTCTGCAGTACTGATCTAAATACGGAAAAAAGTACGCTTATTGGAAAATATTACGCGTACATATAAAAGTTTAAATAAAGTTTCCTTTTAAAAGGAAAGGCTTGCTCAGTTGTGCCATCATCCCATACCTTTAAAAAAAATTTTGTTTCAATTTACTATCACAATTATTTTGTTTCAATTTACTATCACAATTTTTTTTTGAATTACGGCATTTCATTTTGTATATCATAAAGGGTTTATTTAGTTTTTGTTGTTGTTTTTTTTTTTTTTTTTTTTAAAGTTACACTTTTAAAGGGATAGGAAGGGGAAGCCCAAGATTGGACGAGCACCTGTGTCCATTTGTTTGAGCACCAGTGTTATGCATGCAAATTCGGACAAAAGAAGTACCAGAAGTCCACTGATTATAACTGAACAGGAATATGCTGACGATAACAGTAACAACTTTTTTTTGTAAAAAACGAATATTTTTGTCAAGAACGATTTGAAACCTTTTTCTCTATTGTATGAAACTAATAAAGAAAGTAATCAATCACGTTGGGTTGTTGCATTGTGACACTGAGGCTTAACATTATAAGTTGAAACGAGTAGACAATCTCATATACAAACTCTTCAATCACGTCACAGCAAAATGTTTCTTAAAGTGCTATTTCTTATAATAATAATAATTATCATTATTATAATTATCACTACGGGACAGTCGCCGAACTCGCTGGCTTTAGCTTGCTCGACTATGGATCACACGTGTATATTACTTGTTTTATAATGCATGCTTACGTGTCTTCGTGTAACAACTTCATGTTTATCTTTCTAAAGGCTCTCACAATGCCGTGTATCAGTTTTAAGGAAAAAGTAAACAAGCTTATGTCAATGAGAATAACATGGTCGATGGTCAAAGAGACTACGATTATTTATAGAGCTATCGTTCGCTCAAGTA